TCGAATTTTTCAATGAAAAATTTAAATTTGATTTTTTATAACTGCCATTTTACGAAATATTAATTTTTTAAAAAGTTGATCCGTGAACCCGTGAAATAATTATGACTCTAAAGCATAAACAAATATATTGATACTGATTTCACTTTTGTTCCAAGTCAGGATGATTACACGTCGTTGAAGCATGATTTTTTTGCAGAATTGAAACAGTGATGTTAACATTCACCATAAAATTTATTTCTTTTTTATACCAAGATATCGTCAATAGATACAATACATAACAAAAAATTTACCCTCCCTATAGATGATAGTTGATTTATAGCTTTTTACAACTTAGTTTATCAAATTTCTACTTCCGTTGAAAATGTTTACCGTTGAATGAGATTAAAGCTTTGATAGAACAAGTCACAAGATATCGTTGGGAATATTGGACGCGAAATGCACTTTACACGATCGCATTTCCTGCTAGAATAGCAGTGCAGATTACTAATAAACGTTAAAACGGTTTCGCTGGTCAATGTTACCGACGCTAACCGAAAGGTCGTTACAAGTCCAATTAGGCAGGTTGTCCTATGACTAAAATATAGAGATTATAACGTGGTAAACGCGATTATAAAATGATAATGTTACACGAAGCGTCGACATAACGGCCGATTAAACGACAAAATCTCATATGTCGGCTATAATTTAGTGCCACTTGCGCAGCGTCGTAATTTCGCGTGTATGTCTGCGCAATTCCTTAACGTTAATGCGTTACGACGCCGGTCGTTTTTATTTACGGCAAATGCTTAACTAGCCGCTGCTCTACTTCGCCATTTAATCGAATAACCGAGCGTATCTCGAAATTTTGTATTTTCGCTGTTTCGGCAAAACGCACCGAATCTGCTTGATTTGCGATCGAAAACGAGGTGTCTTTTTTAGTCGAGCCAATATACCGTGAAATCATTAAATAATGATAAAAAAAGAAAGAATAGGGAAAGGAAGGATGAGCAAAGGAGGAATAAGAGGCGGAGAGAAGAGAGGCGGCGAAGCTCGACGAAGACGAGGTGGAAGACACGAGGAATGGAAGAAGCCACAAGAAGGGTGGAAGCCAAATGTTGCACCAACATCGACCAAGGTCTGTGTCATAGGAAACCGACGAGATCGATTTCGCCGTCTGTTTTTCCCCGCCCGCGTCTTTTTTTCTTTCCTCCCTCTCTGCCCGATGAATTATATATCGCGAATGAATGGAGCTATCGCGTTTCGAAGTACTCCTCGACGCGGACGTTGTCGCAGATGTTGTCCCCTGAGACGTGACACGCGCCACCAACAAGCGCAGAATCGCGCATTCGATCGTACACGAGACTCCATCAATGCTGTATCATGCCCTCAGCACGGTGACATTTGAAATTTTCGGTCAGACGCATTACATTACTCAATAAATACTCGCATATTATGACAGCCACTTGTTCGAGAAATTGCCGATTCCTCGAATAATCAACAGTCACGACGCGCGAATATTTATCACACAATGCGCCCGATCGAAAACTTCAAGTGTCACTATGCTATACAGAAAAAAACGACATTCTCGCTTGGAAGATATCTTTATTTTTGACATGTTAATCTTCAAATGAGATACGTGGCGTTAAACGAGATTGAGTACCTGCAAGAAGAATATACTCGATGTGATTCAACAAAAAGAAACAACTGTTCTTATTATTTAAAGGAATAACTTTCATTCATGGAAAGCACAAAAATATTAAGAATTAATATTAAGAATTAGATTGAGAATTTTGATATTGACAAATTCGTGTTATGTTTGCTCCATGTTTCCTAGTCCACTTGAAAGTAATATACTCAAATCAACAATCATTGTTTCATACATAAGCCATGATATACAATTTTGATAGAAAAATCTTATTGTCTTCAATTTAAACAAATATTGGTTGAATTGAATATAAAATGTATTGATGTGTGAAACTCCTCTTCGTTTAACTCTATGTACTCTCATTTGAAAATGAACATGTCAAAAATAAGGATATTTTCCAAACAAGAACATGTAGGGAATAACTCAGCATTAAGAGGATGCCAGAGTGGATAACAAACTCTAAAATCGTCGATAACATAGAGAAGCGATAGTTAACATCATCATATTATTCTCTTCGTATTTCTTGTATGTAGATTATAGGGCGCATTTAAGCTGGCCACATACACTTTTCGTAACAATAACCGTAAGACGTAACGTAAGAATTGACCAATCATGTTGAGAATCGTTTAATCGTAAAGTCGCCATTTTTATGAATTGCTCGATCGCAATTGGTCAATTCTTACGTTACGTTTTACGATTACTGTTACGAAAAGTGTGTGTGGTCAGCTTTACACTTTGGTAAAAAAGCAGAAGTCAATCAGAACTCGTGCTGATGATCAGGTGTGGTAGTTTCTGCTTTTCTGCCAGAGCGAATTCTGGCTTCTGCTTTTCTGTCAAAGTGTGAATTCTTCCTTGTATAAATATGTGCTGCTTTGTTTTATCATGCTGGCAGGAAACATAACGACGAATATACAGAAATCTTTCTACAAACTTTCCGTATATTCTCGTGCTTCCAAATTCAGTTGTAAAGATACAGGAATGTTCCTTGAAATTTTCTTTAGCAGAACAAATATACGTGAGATACGTACAAGCTGCAGAACTTCTGTAAATATTTACGCTGACAGTTCGAGGTGACAGTTTTAAAATATTTTATCGTTTTCACCACACATTGAATAATGCTCCAATTCATTATTACGCATACTTTCAATGTGTGTAGAAGCACTTATAATTTTGTGCAACCAATACGACGTGAACTTTATGGAAAAAAGTCAATATTTCATCGGATAAAGTTTCAAGTATGGCATCTCCTTAATGGAGTTTGTGTACAATTTGAGCGTATATGCGCGCTCGCTTTCTCTCTTTCCCCTTCCCTCTCTTTCTTTCTCGCAATTCTCGAGTTATGATTGTGCGCGATGCGACTCTTGTTTTGATGTCGTCATGACGACTCGATCGCGACGGCGGTGAACGTGCGGGAAGGACGAAGGAGCCGCGTCTGCCTAACCTAACCTAGCCTAACGTCATCGTGACAGCCCGCCGTCTCTCACTCTTTCTCCCCACTGCGCGTGGCTCGCGTTGCCGAGGCAACGAAGAAAGCTTTCGACGTGGAAGAGAAGAAGCGCGACTGGAAGCGAAACAGCATACGAGAAAGAAAGAGAGCAAACCACTGTCTCTCGTCCAGCGAGAGAGACGCGCTCTCCACTTTCCTCTTTACCTGTCTCCTATCTCTCTCTCTCTCTCTCTCTCTCTCTCTCTCTCTCTCTCTCTCTCTCTCTCTCTC